TGCGCTTGTTTGTCTTGAAGCGCCCTGCGGTGCTTTCGTATAACGCATATGCTTGTTCAGTGAGAGATAATCGCGAAACATGTTTACTCCTCCGGCAATCGATATCTACATAAGCGCCACGAATATATGCTACATACGTACCCAATTTTATAATTTAAGTTTATATACTTTGTTTATCTTTTAGTAGTTCCCTTTAACTTTTTTATTCTAGAGGTGAGCATCACTGAATTTAAATGGATTAGAAAATTACATACACGGAGGATTACAACAAACATACGAACCAATTTTCAATACTTGATTTTCGTCAAAATATGGTATATATTTAGTATCCATCGGAAGGTTGAAAACATTAATTCGTTGAGATGAAAACTCTCGAAAACTCGAATAAAAATGTAAACAAAATGTCAAGTTGAAAATTCATAAATTCCCTGAATTATAATTTTTAAACCCTTGATCCGTATTTTTGCTTTAGCAATTTATACATGGATTAAAAAAGCTGCTTTAAAAACCAAAATAAGGCAACGTAAATTGGAAGCAAAAAACTGGAGAATTAATTGTAAAACTGGTTGAAACAATTATCAGCTGACAATGTAACGTGTGTGAAAATAGCACACTACTCGTATAAATTTATTCAGTTAGGGTGAAAAGTGTAAACGAATTTGATAAAAATGTCAATTTTTTATTTTCATAAACTGGTTCGAAGCTCGAATACATGAAGCAAATTCGATAAAAGTGTCTGCTTATTTAATATTTTGGCGATGTTGTAGCACGTATTGGATGAAAAAAGGCGTATATTATAGTATAAAATATTTGAATTGGCTAAGATCGGTGAAATAAAAGATTTTTTTTACCTGAACTAGATAAATTAGACAAAAAATAAAAACTTAATAGTTGTTTACGATACAAGTGAGATAAGAGCATTATTAACAAATGCATGCGAAATTAGCAAAGCGAGGCGTAGCCGAGTTGTGTAATCGCTAAGATTATTAATAATGCGTTATGAACGTGTATCATACATTGTTTTATCTACGGTCACCAAAATGAAAAAATGAGTCAGCAAATAATTTTCCTTGTATCCTCGACAAATACGTGCAAATAATGTATAACAAATAAACGAATTGTAGTTATTGTAGTTGCAGTGTTATATTTACGTATTGCTCTTATTCGTCTTGTTTAATAATAGATTTTGATGTGGTTATTGATATGATAAAACGAGGCGGTGTTGTTTTGCCACACAAAATTTAAATAATTGCAACTACAATTTAAGTTTTCACTTCCTGCAAGCCAGAAAAACTCTTAGATTGGAACCAAATTTAATTAACTTTCTTGTCCCTACACCCACTCCATAACACTCTTACCCTCGTGGTAAGTCTCTTATCAGTTATCACCCAAGCCCTAAAAATATAAAAATGTTTTACAATGCTCGACAGATATACACATAAACGATAAACGATGTAAGTGAATTGTAATTTTGGTGAAAGTTCTGCAATGAGAAGAACGAAACTATTGTACCAACAAATGTCCCCTTATTTCTCAAATTTTTCACACAACATTTTCAAAGAGGTGTTTCATTTGTGCCATTCAACTCATTTCGGGCAACTTTATGCAAGTCAAGCGCATCTTCCAATTTTTTAAGAGTGTAATTAAGATTAGATCTTAACCAAAATATAATTTGACATGAGACCCATCAATTGTATCGACCTTCCTTCAAACACTTAACCATCTTCACATTAGAGAAGTTGACATACAAATTACAAACCCTACTCATCTTCATTACTGCCAAAAAGTTCAAACTTATCTTTGATTAAATCACAGTGAACTTGAATAAGTATATATTTTTAAAATATATGAAAGAAATAGAATTTTCTATTAGTTTTCATTAAATTTTATTAACTATATTAAAAAGACAAAAATAAATGCTTTAAAACAAAAAAAACTAAATTAAAGATCTTCCAAAAATACTGAAATCAGCTCTTGGTTTCTACCAAGATGGAAGAATCTGCATAGACTCCACTTTACTCACATACACTGAGAACACTAAAGCTTTTTGGGATTAAGAAATAGTTTACTTTTTATAAGCTTTAAAATGCTATGATCCAGCGGGGGAAATGAAAATACTACATGTTATTATTTTCTTCCAATCAGGGTGTTCCGTTTTTATTGTTACAGGTGATAAAATATTCAATTTTAAGACAAAAGTTTCCTATGAACATGTACCAAAAAATTTTATGTAAGCGAGCTACACCCTCTGAAAGAAATGGGTTTTTTTCACTATTGTAGAATAGACAAAATTATAAAAGTTGGTGCAGCTGATAACCTTTAAACACCTGAACGAATTCCATGATCAGTTATCGAAATTTTTAATAACGGGCGTCTTAAACGGTAAAACAAATTTAATTTTTAATTTTTATTTTATGGTCTGTAACACATATGGTAAACTGATTTTACTCAAAAATGGTAAGTTGTATCGAAAAAACACAAGAGACTTATTTTTTGTGAAAAACTATGAAATTTAGAATTCTGTGACTGAAAGTGGCAAGAACCAACAGCCAAAACAGTTAGGGTACTTTTACCTTTTTTTTTTTACCCCCCTAGTATTTTTGCCATTTTGTCTTGGAATTTGGGTGTATAAAGATTATCAGTTGTACCAAATTTTGTAATTTTATCTACAATATTGAAAAAAATTCATTAAAAGATGTACCCCTTTCAGAGGATGTAGTCCTTATTTAATATTTCACAAACAATTCTATACACGTATTCTGTAGAACTGGATACCCATGCTTTGTATGGGATTCAGCTATAGTCCCATTCTTCGCACGGGCTTTGTTTATGGATAACAGGTGATGAGTGGGGTGTCCCGTTGCTTAATTTTGGTCAATTTGTTATTTGACTTCAAAAAAAATAAAAAATAAAAAATAAAAATTACAAACTCTCAGAAGTGAAATTATTCAAAAATATTTATCAAGCTGTATACCCGTAGCTTCGTCCACGTAAATTTTCAATATAAACTTTTGTTAATTTCAAAGAGAGAAAGTGAAGGAAATCTGTTTATATTTGGTTCGCCAGCTCAAACTATCGCGAAAGTATATAGCCGATTTTTAGGGAGATGAACGTGTTTTCAAACGTTACAAACGTTTACACCCCATTTCACTCCATTAAAGGTTGATTTTCAGAAAGTGTCTTCTTAGCGCACTTCTACACCCTTGAAGTTCTAAATTTCATGATCTTGATTTTGTTTAAACGTTTGCATCCTATTTCATTTTGTTAAGAGTTCGTAGTTTTTGAAAAGTCCTTCATTAATGCACTTCTGAATTCTCTAAGAAACATATCGTCTAAATTTCATGTTTCTGTCTTTGTTTAATCATGTACATTCTGTTTCACACCTTTAGAACCTAATTTTGGAAAAAAAATTTACTACACTTTTATGTTTATGTCTTCGTTTAAAAACTCATTTACAAAAAATCTTGGTCTTGGTGCACTTCTACACCCTCTAAAATATATATCTTTCAAATTTCATGTTTCCATTTTTGTCTAAACGTGTACTCCCCGTGTAACCCCCTTTTCTAAGAGAGTGAATAATTTTTAATTTATGATTCATCCGCACATTAATAAATAAATAAAAGTCTTAGGTATATCGGTGCTTAAAGCATTATCCAAACTGTATACATTTAAAAATTTAATAATCAAAGTTGTCTTAATATACCTGTATCTAAAGTATCTAAAGAAAATATTGCCTTTAATATTTTCCGGAAGAGACAACTTCTCGAAAAACAAATTATTTCTCTACCCAAATTACGAGTATTAACAATTTATGATAAGTCTCTCCAAGCGATATAAATCTCGTAAAAATTTAGAGCTCTGCATGTGATGCTCAAAATTAGACTTTTTAAATATTTTGTAGACTTCCGAAATAATAATCTATATTATAGTATAAATTCTGAAGTCAGGGAAAACATCGGATAATAGGTATCCTTTTTGTGATTGATCCAATAGCGAAAGCATCAAAATACGTATTTTCGCTCTGAAATAATCTACGTGCAGATGTTCGTTGTCATATTGCAACCGCAAACTCGTATCGACGGTTCCGTCAGTTTTTGAAGTGAGGAAAGGCTTCAGGCCCGACTTGCGATTTAACAGTCGAAAGGTCGAAGATGAAACATATTGACATCAGATGCTCCTGACGTTTTAAAACAGCTTACAACATAGTTTCCGTTATTTTTATAGCTTGTGTTCCTTCTTGTTAGTCTCGAGATATATAGCGTTTTAGGAGTAATTTGCTTTGATAAGCAGAATTTTTATAACATACGAGTACGTAACGAATATTGATTTTGATTTTATTAAAAATGCGGGACCTAACAGATGCTCTTTATTAAATTTTCGAGTTCAAAGAGAACATCCAGCGACGAGGTAAGCCGCAAACCTTTATATTGAAGCCTTGTCATAATTATTGCTTTTCTGATCAAACTTCCTATTTAGTTTCCCAAATAAAAAGTTTTATTTTTAAAAGCTAGCGTTTGAAACTTTATTAAAACAGATTTTCCGGCATTGTCATTTTATATCGAAAATAAATTACTTACGATAGCCGTTTCAGTAATGATTTATTGTTACTGTTGTAAACTTTTCTTTATTTAGTAAAAAGCAAAAAATGGTACTGTATTGCTTCCATTGTCATGATAACACGTTCGCTTCAATCTGTTGTTATAATCGAAATTTAAAACTTCTCTCACAAAAAAATTATTATTTTTTGCACATTTTAGGATCATTATTTCAATGCTGCTGATTATATTTGAAAACACGTTTTTAAAGGTTTTGCAAATGTAATAAATGTTTGTATTTGTACAATGTGAACATAAAATTGGATCTACACATAAAATATCCAATCACTAAAAGTGTGTTATGTATTATTGTTAGTAATAATGAAAAAATAATGCGATTGTTGCCGCTAGTTATTTTCAAATGTGAATGGTTAATTCAAATATTGTGATATTTTTTTGACTTACGTCGTGCAGCCAAGTAAGTTTCCTCCACTGGGGGTTGGCAGTAACTCGACACTCGAAGTAGACGTCGTCGCCTTCCTTGATGTCATCAGCATTAAGCGTGCTCCCCAAATGGAGCGACACTTGCGGGGGGTCTGAAACAATACGCCATTGTCAAGTCTGACAGCAAAAACTGCTGCTCCCAGAGATATATAAATCATTGATAGACTGTTGTGTGTTCTGACTCAGATTCATAAACAATAGACCAAGAAAATGAACAGATTCTAAGAAAAGGCCGACCCCCCCGACCAACTCCAGGGATTACTTAATCCAATAAAAAAGCTTGTTTGCAACTAAGTCATTGTTGAGAAAAACTAATTTAGTTCTGAAGTAATTTGCTGCGTCTTAGAACTTAAAAACTAACGATTCAAAGACATCTAGTGAATCTCTTCTGTTTGCAGCAATATTAGTAAAACTTCGGTTGTAGTACTTAGTTTGCAATAGATTTCATTGATTAAAAACCTTCCTCCAAAGCTCATTAATAAGTTGTAGCTAAGCCCCAAAAAAATTACTATAGACTTACGAGAAAAGATTCAGAAACAATAAATCAAAGCTTTAGTTAGCAAAGAACGAAATAACAAATTTTATTCACGATCACAACGTAATAATCAAATTACCTTGTTATGTAAAAAGTTGGAAAGTATGACATTTAAACTTCGTTTAACAATTGATACGAAATATACAGTTCAGGTTGGAAAATGGCCATCCCAAGGAAAAAATTGATAACTGTCATATGTTTTTCAAACTTTGATAAATACTTATTATTGGCTTTCTGTTCTTTAAGAAAAATAATTTTAAATAAAATAGTATACAAACCTTGGTGGTCGTTGCTTCATTTCGGCTTATTGCTAACCGCGGCGCAAATCCACTGGCGCACTGGTGTAGTAGAGTTATTAATCAACATGATTATTTTTTAGGAGTACTATTATTAAACTTGAGTTTATAAAATAATTAATGTCTTTCCATCGCTGTAATATCAAATAAAAAAAAAACGTAAAGTCGAACAGTTTAGCGGCGAGCATGCTGCAATGCTATTCTAACTAAGTTGTTGATTGTTCGGCTGACTTTTAGTTCAGACTGCGATAACTGACAATTTACTGTGATTTAAGTCTACATTCAGTAACCAATGCATGCAAAATGAATTGTCCGCTTCACCGATAAAACCTACATGAATCCGAACAGTGGTACCTTCCACCTCGGTATGTAATGTACTATAATTTTAAACAAATAAGGGTTTATACGGATGAAAAAACTTGAAATAATGTCAATTTTTTTTTAATTAAAAAGTGTAATTTCTTTTTTGGGAATTTATTGAAGAGAAAAAAATAAACAGTTCGTGCTACGCACTCATTCCAGAAACTCATGATCAAGAATTAAGAGCACCATTTTTGTATTTACATAATAAGAAATAAATATTATTGTTTTCTTCTTTAAAGCTATGTGTATTGTAGGAGAATAACAAAAAAAAAGGAAAAATAAAACCTTTATTACATCTTTGCTAACTTGTTACATAAAAATTTAAAAAGATAAATAAATTTAAGCAATAACAATATACACTCACGGACACTAAATTCGATCCATTATTTTTATTTAATTTTTCTCAACTAATTGTTGTTCTACAAGTCAGCAATTTTTTGGGAACTTTAAATTACACATTTTAAAACAAGTATAAGTAAATAAAAACCAGCTTAAACTAAATAACAGTTTTTTTTATTTTTTCAATAATAAAAAAAATGCAAAATTTTACAAAAACATTAAATCTTGAATTAACACCTAACAAAGAGTTAAGACTTAAACTAAGTTTAAAATTGTATGTTGCCTCCCCTTGCACGAATTACAGCTGCCATTCTTCTTGTCATTTCTTCAATAAGATGTTCAATCGCTCTTTGGTCAATTTCTTTCCAAATTTGGATTACTGTTACACTTAGCCTTCTCAAAGTAACAGGAGCAGGAACTCTACGTCGAACCTTTCTTCCCACCATGTACCAAATGTGTTCAATGGGATTTAATTCAGGGCTTGGCGCTGGCCATCTCATACGTTAGATTTCAACCTCGTCTAGGTACATACGTGAGCAGTGTGAGCACGTGCATTACCGTGCATTTAAATGAAATTTTTACCAATAAATGGTGCATAAGGCACAACATAGGGTTTCAGAATATCTTTGATGTACCTATTAGAAGTTATTGTTCCTCTGTCTAGTTTCCAAACTAATGCCACCCCAGACAATAATAGAGCCTCTTCCAAAACTCAGCCTTGGGACACTGTGCAAATCTTTCTCCGGATCGTCGCCAAACTCTTTGTCGTCTATCTGGAGAATGAAGACCAAACCTCGACTTATCAGAGAAAAGATCTCGGCTCCAATCAGCAGCACCCATGTTCATGAGCAAAACGTAGTCGCTCGACTCGATGCTCTCTGGTCAATTTGGGGCCATTTGCTGGTCTCCTTGCAACTATCCTTTTTTTTGAGTCTTCTTCTTACTGTTCTTTCGCTTATTGTCACACATCTTACCTCTTCCAACAAGTTACAAGCATGAACAGCTCTTGTGTCCCTATTTATCAATACTTGCAGTGTGAGAAAATGATCATATCGAGCTGTGGTACATTGCTTTCTTCTTGCTCCAACTGTCCTATTGTAGCCCCCAGTTTCGCGAAACCGTTCTACAGCTCTCTGCACCTTGCACCTCGAAACTCCAAGAACTCAAACTACGTAATATTGCGATCTACCATCTTGAACTAGAGCAATTGCTCTAGTCGCGTCCGTTGGATTTAGCATCATATCTACTTTTAGAAGGCTAAATTACTTGCTTCTCAAAAAATGACAAGAATAATTACAAAGGGCATTAAAATAGGTTTCACAATAAAAGAGGATTGGAAAAAAGTTTTAAAAAAATCCTCAAAATTTTATCGTTCGCTCATTTTTTTGTTTGTTGGTTTTAACAATAGTTGGAAATATATCTTATTTCTGTTTAAAAGTTCACTGACCAAAAAAAAATCGAAAACGTTTTCGAGAAAATAAAGTATGGATCGAATTTCATGCCGGTGAGTGTATTATGTTATTAGAAGTAAAAGTGATAGTTTATGTAGCGAAGCTGAACGTTATTTTGCCAAACGCAGTAAAGTAAATAATTCAACTGAGCCTTTTTTGCCACTTTTACTATACCATTACTATACCACTAGTAAATGAACAAAATAATCAAGACGCTTTGCAATGAAATTATGTTTAATAATTTTAGTTATCCACTAGTGGATGACTAGTGCAGTTGGTTGTGCAAAATGTCGAATGCTGATAATTTACAATGTGCCTCTTCAGAAACTGCTGAAGCAGTGTAAAAGACAAGAAAGAGACACCATTGGTAAATGTCATGGTAAAAGTAAAAACGCTTAAGTAAAAAAACAGAGTTTTTACTCCACGCCTGAAAGATGTCATGAAAAAAGTCAAAGTAAAAAAAAAAGTAAAAAGTTAAAGATAAAAATATTTAGTTATAACAATTATTTGAATATTTGTGTCTACAACGTTTTGGTGCAAAAAGCAACAACTAATTACTTTCATTTCTTCACCATTCTATTGGTTCCTGTGAGACTATTAATACATATATTTCTTAAAAAAAGACAACTATTTACATAATAGTTTGTAGAATAAGTAATCCGGCGCATCCACCATTTTTGTTACTTAGTTTAATAAAAGAGTTATAGCGACTGTTTTTTTTAAATCTGGCGTCAAAACTACCTATGAAAGTTTGATTGTAAATGAATCATCGTATTGAAAGTTGATAATCTGACATTTGACACCTTGCCGAGCGTATTGTGGTCCGTTCACAACACACTCATTTCACCGCCAACTATGATGCCAAATTAAAATAAACACCCATTATAAACAACATTACTGATAATTTTTAGTAAAATAAAAATAATTTAATTAAATTAAAAACTGTTTGCGTGTTGATTTGTGTATAAACACTTCTCAAATGGGAATGTAGGTGGGAAACAAAGGTCTTAACGACTTTGCCGGCAGTAACAATTTTGTCGACCCAATTTTATTCATACTTTAAAAGTGTACTTACAAACGACGTCAATTTTCCACGATGTTTCGAGAAAGAGCCCTGTGACGTTGGGATTTTCAGCTCTGCATGTTATGGATTTTCCATCGTCCTCGGTCGTCGGAATGAAAGTTAACTCACTTATTGTTACATTTTCTCGCGTTTCTTGCTGAAAATAAATGAGGAATTATAGACCAATTAATTTAAATTTTAAAGTAGGCTATATTATTTGAATATTCTTTGCAACTGTACAAAATGAAAAGTTTACTTTTACACAGGGATTTCGGTAAGAGTCGAGATATTAAAATAAGAAGTTATGATGAACAGCCAACGGAAAACTAAAGTTTGTTTGGACGTACGGCAAAATTTACGATCGACCAAAATCGAAATGAACGTTCCAACTTATGGAATAACGCTTTTCATCGGTCGTATATCAGACTCCACATTTACAACTCGGATCAATTAAACTTTGCAAGACTCGGAGATTTTTATTGGAGAATGCGACCGCAAAAGAACGAGCTCTTCAAATTGCGTAATTGCTAACAGCTTTCGCCTGACGTCATCACAACAATTATGCTCAACTTTGTTCTTTCCCTTCTTTGTTCGCACTTAAAATTATAATTATTAAATTTGTTAGAGGCAATTATTGACAGGGGCCTAATATTAGGGCACGCTTAATCCCCGTTTAATAAAGTTCTACGCAGCCATTATCGGATAATGTCTCTTCTGAAATTCATATTAAGTTTAATCAAAAAACAATTTTTTTCAAAGAAATTAAGCCAATGAAAAAAAAATTACTTTTATGAAAAACATCCTTTTAACTACACAGTTAAATTGCAATTTGCAAACGTACACACGTTTAGAATGTTGCAAATTTGGTTTTTCCAAATAAAAGTTTTATACGATTCACAAGATAATAACGCGATGTAATAAAGACCGGCTAATAATTTAGCTGATAACGGCTTTTATGGATATGCTGCATATTTTGTGATGCAGATACAAAACCAAACTTTAATAATAGTGTAGACGTTGTAATTAGTTTTAATAAAAAATGGTCTGAAATGGGGACTTTCACAGCTTGAATCCTTTGTATCTTAGCACTATCACCAAACTTTAACTAAACTGATTTATTTGTTTTAAAGCTGCCAGTGAAAAGATTTACTTCAATTGATTACTTTTACAAAAATAAGCTACAACACAAAGTACACTTCATATATGCATTTACGTAATATGTATAAGAATATATGTATGTATTTTGTATTGCATTTTATTTTTTGTAAAAGTTATCATTTTATGTAAATTAGTTTTTAATTCAGAATGTTGCTAGAATTTTATACGGTCAATTTTGATGCAAAACCTTTATAAAAAATAATGGAATGTACGTGCAAAATTAAAGATATTGGTGTAATTTGGTGGTAAAAAGCTCGGTATGAAAAAAATGGAATGCAATTAGTCTGAAGAACAATCTTGACTTCCGAGCAATTGCAGCTTAACAAAGAAAGGCAAAAACCGCAACCATTTAAAACTAATTGGTTTTATTCTGCCCTTATCAGCAAATAGATCTTTAAAAACAGACGCGGAGGATGTTGAGTGTGTCGCAACAAAAGCTCTGCGAACGGAATAAACGTTGACATTTAAATGTTGGCTCACTCGTGCCGACATTAGAGTTTTACCGAAGCAGTATTTCATAATAATTGTTTCAAAGGCTTGATTTATGCGCACACAACTCAAATTTAATTAAAAACACAAAAGGCCCATCCAGATATGTATGTAAAATGAATTTCGCAGTTCCCTTAAAAAAATGACGCCGATTATGTTACGTTGACAGCTCCGGAGGGAGAATTTTTTGCCAGCACTCAATATTTTGTAGCGAAATGCACAATTTGTACAAAGGATTCCGCATTAAATGATAAAAGAATCGGATATTGTTCAATGGCCCGTCAGCTGTAACGAAACTTGGCAGCAAAGCGATCAAAACATTGGCGTTTGTGTTAAAAAAGTTATTTCTCGGCTCACTTAACAACTCTCAATGTAAAATTTTTTCTTTTGCAAGAACCTTTTTTAATAAAGATACAAATGAGCTCAGATATTAAATGACGCCTTTTATATGCAAATCAAGACGGTTAATACAGCGGAACGGTTCAATTCGAACGAACTGCATTAAAGGTAGTTAAATAGCTTTCGGGATATAAATATTTAGGATTATTGTAATGCGCTGGACTACCTTGTTGCACCAGGTTATAACTACTGTGCTTTACCACTTCTAAAGCAATATAAAATTATTATACATCTGCTTTTGCGGTTTTTAAAGAGAGGATGGAAAAATTTCACAAAACGTTCAAAAACTGTCCGCTTTGATCTTGGTATTGCAAAATGGCTTTAATCTAGTCTTGCAATTCACATTCGAATAAAATAAACATTAATTTTTTACATATTGCTAGGTTGCTTTTCCGAGAACCCTTTGAACAAAAGATGAAAGAAAAACAGACACGAAACAATCTTGCGGTAAGAAGAAAAACCCTAGTTAATTAAAATTTATTTTTAGTTGCCATTAATTATCCAGTGTTTACTGGCAATACAAAACCTAAAATTGAAATACATTCATTTTCAATTTGAAACTCCCCGACCAACACTGAAACCTTGTTAGTTTTTCCAATTAATTCTCTTTTCACAAGAAAGAGATTGCTATCTATAGACACAATGAATGACCCGCAACATAAATCAACTTAAAGAACGATGAAATAATTCCTTTTGTACAAGCGGCGTTTAATAATAAATTACGTAAAGCAAGGAAAAAAAATGCATATTTAACAGCGCGGATTTGCTTGAATAAATATTAGCTCAAGTTCTTTGAGACCGGGAAAAATTAATCTAACTGAGGCATAAATTGGCACGGTGTGTGATAAGTCACGGATTTGAATTTTTTTTGTTACCTTTGACTTGCGAAGTGGGCGTTTGCCTTTATACCAGGTGATGATTGCCGGTGGACGAGATCCTGCAGACTCGCAGGTGACTTCATAGCGCTTGTCGGCCACTAAAGGACTCACCGTTTTCAAGATTCGGACCGTTAAAGGCTTGACTGGAATCGAAATAAAACTAATGAGATTTTCTGACAAACAGATGCTTTTTTATTCCAGCATTAATCTAGATTTATCGGTCTCTAGACATGACAAATCACAATAATTTTTCTCCGAGCCGAAAGAGAACAAGAATCGATACGACTTAATTAAATTTTTATTCTTTTAATCAGTCGAGATTTTAAATATCACTCACGTAGCAAATCCAGCACGACCGAGGCCACTTTGGGCTCAGTGAGAACCGTGTTGACAGCCTGACACGTAAAGATAGCATCCAAATCCTTTCTTGAAATTGAAGTCTTTACTAGTCTGTTCTCGATGACGTCCCCTGCGTTATGTTCCGACTGGTCGTCGACCATTTCCGCGTTTACCAACCAACGCACAGTGGGCTGAGGATGCCCCCCGACTGTCCTACAAGTCAGAGTTATGTCATCGCCCTCTTCATGTGGTCCCACAGTGCCGTTCAGCTGACGGCCCCACTTGTCCAAGATCGTGGGCTGTTCCGGCGGAACTGCAATAAGAAAGAAATGTCCAATTAATTTCGGAGAGGAGACCACAGATTCCCAACGTGTGACCCTAATTGAACGAATGTGGAAAAACGTGACGAGGGATATTTTTCTTGTGGGATTTAATAAGAGCTTTTAAATAAACACAAAGTCTAAACGAGTACAGCTATCGCCGTCAAATATGCAATATAGTGTTATAAAAACAAATAAAACTGCAACAACAGCGCTGTTTGTTAAAGGGTAGTGCAACACGTTCCGGTTAGATTAAATTTACTTTGGTTTGAGTAGGTAGTTTAAATCAGAAAAATGCTTTCATCCAAATTTTTTTACAATTGAAAGCTACGTGAGCTCTATGATTTTTTAAAAGTACTAAATTCAAAATTTTTAAAATACGAGTTATGTGTAGGTACTTTTGACAGATGTGAAAAAAGTATATGTGTTAAAAAGAACATACTAAGTAAGGTGTAAATTATAGATACTGTGAATACTTGATCTCAAAAGTATACTTCATGACTATTTTTTACTGTAAAGAAATAATTTTTTGCGCGATTAGACTCTACGTATTTGATTGTTTACTACGTCTGTTTTCAAGAAAGTTGCTATCCCAAACTCCTAGGTAAGTATTTTGTTTATTGTTTCTAACGATAAACTCGTCGGTGAGCATTCAAAGTCGTCGCCAAAGTATTTTATTATTATTCTTTTTCAAAGTCGTCGCCAAAGTATTTTATTATTATTATTTTTATTAAAAAAACTAACAAAAACCAATCGCGCAAAAAATGTCAACGAACGTTACCGTTCTTGGTGCTTAATATACTATTTCTAGCTTCTTTCGTTAATTTTGACTTAATATTTTTACAATGTACTTGATTTTGAAAAGTTTCCCTCAGAGATTATATTTGTTATCAATTTTTGTTACTCATTTTCAAAACACGTTTATTCGGCGAACAAAACTTAAATTTTTTATGCATTGAAAACCATTAACATTCGGATAAGTTAGTCATCATTCATTTTTTACAACAAGTAATTGATGCTCGCAAACATTTTTAGGAAGTTAAGAGTAATTTAATTTTTGTGTTTTAACGCCGAGTAGCACCGAAGACGCAAGAACCGTTTAAATTCTCACCCTTCACTTAATTAATATCTTAAACCGGTCATTTATCTTCTTAATTAATGATTCCTAAATTAATATCCAATTACGCGTAACGCTCTTGGCAGAAAATTTTTATACAGAGGAAATGTTTTTTCCAATAGAAATTCGATTCTTAAACTCGGACATGTGCCGTATCAAGTCCCATATTTATGGCGAATTACGTTTTATGTAATTAATCACGTCAGTAACATTTTAAATAATGTCAGAGAGAAATGATTCGAAATCATTTTCATTTTTCCGAATTCGGCCGTCTATCTTTCTCAGGCAACGTTGAGCCATTTCGGTGTGTAATTCTGATAAATAACCCCAGATTAAATATAAACATTGTGTTTTGTATTGTGCAACCTCGACATCAGCTCTTATCGTTCCGTTTCTTTCACCTCTTTTGTACCGAACTTCGGCGACTATTTATAAATTTGGGAGGCTTCATACTCGACAGCTTTAAATATTAAATTATCGGGATTAGGGCTCGATTTATTTGGATTTCAAGTCAGCAATGGCGTTGCGTGAAATATTGGACAACTTCAAGTTTTATGAATATTTCATTATTTTAATAAAAATTTTGTTCCACCAATTATACACTACTCGAGGCGAAGAGCAAAAAAGCGGAAAAATAAATGTGCATAAAACAAAGTTACCAAAAATCACTGCCCGTAAATTACTTAAGAGCGGGTTGAGGGTAATTTCTCTTCGAGAATATTCAGAACGTCCTTGTGGACTCGAGAGTGACTACAAGGCTTCATTTAAATAGATAGATGGATGATACAAGTACCTAATGTTAGATGCAGTTGTGCAATACGGGGTAATAAACGTCGACGTTGAATAAGATATACAGGCTGAATTATAATAAACGCCCTAAACCCATAACTCCATTCTTTTTTAAGATGTGACAATACTTCTTGGAACAAAACTGCACAGTTCATTGTTATCTATTGTTTGGGATAAATGCTCAATCAATGTTATTTCCTGTTTTACCGAAAGTAACATCAACTTCAGTTTTTTTTAAATATTTTACCATTTTTAGAATCTTTGTTTATTTGTCTTTTAAAATGTTTTATACTTGAATCGTGCCTGTTAACACATTATTATCCATGACTCATACCAAAAAGTATAAAACCCTAAGAGAAAATATAAACTAACGACATACGAGTATCTCAACATATTATGTTATTGTTTTCTACTGCCTATGTTTTAACAAATACATACAGCCTCTTCCGGCTGGTTAAACCCCACATTAGAAGTATTGGGAGTTCTAACAATGATATTTATCTAAATTTTGTTTATAGCTATAACAGGTTAGGTTCTGCTCAATGAAAATATTTTTAAGATGGCGGCACTCCTTGTTACACCGGAAGTGGATATCAACTTTGTTATTTTAAATACCGTGCGATCAAAAAAATAAATTAGACTAGGCGGTGATTAAAGTCCTTCAGATGGCAATCCTGATTTTTGACATCAAATGTCAGCGGAAACTTTGACAAGTTTGCGTTTTATTCCTTTTGAGTGAAATAATGTTCACTTTAGAGCAGAAAATTTTTATTGCTGAACAAGACGAAAACGGTGAATGGTCATTTTCACTTTCAGTTTGTGTGGAAAATTTCCAGCCCAGATTCCCAGGCAATGTGTTGCCAACTGTAGAATTTAATCGACGCCTGCTCTAATTTATTATTTTTTTTTGATCGCACGGTAGAAAGCTATGTTTTTTATTTAATATATGTATTTTATCTTTCTATTCAAAAATCGATCTCTACCTTTTTTTATTATGTTGAAACCGTATTTGGGTATACGACGAAGAAAGGTTAGATCTTTCCTTTGGTGTATTCATAATTAGAAAAATAATTAACAAACCGCCAAAATGTAAGGTTACGTTTAAGAAATGAAATGTCAAATACCTTTAACTCGATTTTTTTAAATAAAACGCCCCAATATTTTCTTCACTAAATGGAGAAGAATTTACTTCTGCTTCGTTTTGTATTAACATTCCCTATACCTATATTTGATAGTTTTCAAGATATAGTAATTTTTTTGATGTTGTGAGAAATTCATTAGCCATGGCTACTTTAGCATGGGTTGTCATAGAAATAAGAAAAAAATTAAATATCAAAGTTATTTAAATTTAGATTAAATAAATTTTATTTGTATTTACGAAAAGAATAACACAATTGTAAAAAAAAAACTTGGCGTTTTTTATTTGAGAAATATTTCCATACAAACTATACGAAAACTAGTTTCTGCGTTTATCAAAAAAACCTAGGAGTTATAATATCAGAATATAAATTTCTTAATTTTTTCTAAAACAAAGTCTTATTTCTCAATAATTCGATTATGTGGCTTATCAAGTTTTTACAGTAAGCCCTTCAATTTTAAGCATAATGATACTATAAGTTTAAAAAAAAATCAAATATGGTAAAATATACAGGCTGTTCTATTTGAAAAATTTAAGTTGTTACTTTTGGTGAAACAGGAAGCAGCATTGCTTTGGCATCTATCCCAAAAAATAAATAACAATAAACTGTGCAACTTTGTTCCAAGAAATATTGTCATATCTTTAAAGTAATAAAGTTATGGCTTGGAACGTTTTTTATAATCCAACCTGTATAACTAAATTCAATCTTGGCTTATACAAGGTGAATAAAAAGTATTAAACCAAGAGTTTTTTTGTAAACTAACTACTTTACAAAAAATAATTATGTAGTGTGTACTATGTAAAGTGTGACCGTTTATCAAGAATAACATTTTTTGAAATTCCTTTTAGTTTTCAAGTTTTGCAAAACAGTTTTTTTAAAGGCTGTTACATTTTTTTAATTGATGACTATGACCTAAAAATGACTTCGAATGAAATAAAATCGTTTTTTAACCAGTATTTTTTTTGTACATGTGCTTTGGAGTGGTTCCGGATGGATCAAAAAATCCAATAAAAACTCATTTAATTTTTAGTCCAACCGTGTGTTAGTAAAATAACGTAAGAGGTTGTGCGATTGGCAGAGAGCCTTAGGCGAGTCTGGCAAATTGCGCGTGATTGGCTGTTTGTTGGCCATGTGCATTGCTTTTGACTTTCATTTTCTTTATTTCAAAATTGACTCAAAGTTTAGTAATTAAAACCACCTACTATTTTAACATAAATCAGCTGACGCCCCATGCAAATGACTCCCCACTTATGCGTTATTTGTGCTCGTTATGTAATATACTATTATATTATAACATCTATAACAGATTGAATTTAATTAATGCTACCTACATACCTACTAAATACCTACATTAATTTTATCGTCACTATTTCAAATAGAGCGAATTTCATTAGTGGTTAGGCGAGTTTAATTTCGAAAAATTGCTTTTTAATAATATTCCAAAGTTGAATGGTGCATCGATGTGGTTTCGTCATGCAACTAGAAGAAATAATTAAAGCACTTAATCAATAATCCGGACAGCTAGTAGCGGTTTTAATTAAATTTTCTGACAATAAGGAAAGTGAAAAAACCGCACATTATAAACGTTCCCGACGGCGACGTGTGTATTTTGTGGTGTTTGTGTCCGGATCCGAGTGTCTAAAATGTGTAGTGGCGCGAACTTGTGTGTGCTTGAGTGAGAATGAAGAATGACTGCGGAAGTCGGCCAGGTCCACGTTATCTTGTAAAGGAGATTTGCATGCGAGCTTAAACGTGATTTAAGTGTTGGTTTTCTCGCATTGAATGAGATGTTTCTGAAGCAGGATGAAAAACACTCGTTTATTAACTCAATCACATTCTGCCATAAACATACTCATATCAAAATGGGATAAAATATTTCTACATGTCAACTGTTCAAGGAATATTTGTCTTACGAGAATTTTTGCGGTTGGATGGGTTTTTGCAAAAT